CCGCGCTCCCAAGTGGCGCACTGTAGCAGTGCGCCACCGGGCCGGCCCTCATAAAATATTTTCTAATAGTTTAACCCAACTTTCTTAGTTTCACTGTATTTCATTACAAATAACTGGTAGTTCTACTCTTGTGGGGCTCTTATTTATAAAATATTAATATTTTAAGCAGCTCTTATAATATTTTTAGCCTAATCTTTGAAAAAGTGGAGAAAAATTAGCCAAAGTTCTAAGTAAAATACAAATTTCAAGCTCTGACATTAATTAAATCTTCATGTGTCATGTAATAATCACGTACAGAAAATGAAACATCAAACCCAAATCTAATAATTTGTGAGCTTAGATTCTTCTGAAAAGACAGGTACTTAGAGAAATAAGTTAAATTTTTCAATTTTTTGAGGCTAACAATTTATAAAGGATTATTTTAGTACCACAAATAACATTTTGAAATATTCCTTTTCAATGTGTATAGAATAAACAATGTGAATAAAGACATCAGTTTTGACTCTGGTGTTTTATTTTACCTTTTTAACCAGCTCTAATTCTTGCATGGTTTTCTGAAGCTGTTTGTTATCCTTTTGAAATTGTAGCTGAAGTTCTTCAAGTTGATTAACAGTACTGGCATGTTCCTGAAATTAAAAACAAAAACAATTCCCCAAACCCAACTAATATTAAAAAAGCTCTTTGTAAGAGTTTATGAAAGAATCTGACATACTAAAATATAAGTTTAGTAATCTTTCAATATGTAAAAAATACATATCCCAAAATCATAGCTTTAATTCTCAAATATATAGTCAGCATACTTGAAAGAATTAATGAACACTGCTGTATTCACAAATGCTCTTAGTAAGTCTTTCCTTCATTTAAATAATATTTTAATAACATCACTATGCATATGTGAATTGATCTCACAGTACTGTTTTTACCTTTATCTTCTGCTCTTTCTGAAGCTTTTCGGCTTCCAATTCTTTGTCTACCATTGCTTTGGCTCTCTGGACTTCTAAAATCTGTACTTCCAATAACTTGGCATTAGACTGTAGTGTCTCAATATGAGCCAGGAGATCTTCGTTATCAGAATTTAATTTTTCACACTGGAATAGACAAATGATTCATTACTGTATATATACAGAAAATACACAGGAGAGAAAGGATGAAAAAATACATTAATGACAATACTGGCAAAATGTAAAAAAAACCCAAAAAACAAAAAACTTATAATCAATTCCACAGAATGACAAAGTTAAATAGAGAATGAGTTAAAAAACTATCATTGTCGATATTAGCATGGCAAACCTCCCAAGAGACCAGGTGCACTGGCAGAGAAAAGGGCAGAAAAAAACCCCAAAAAAACAAAAAAATCCAGGGAAACTGTGATTGGAGTAATAAGCAAGACAGGATGGTTGCTGTTTTGCCATAGTCTTCTCTCAATAGTCGGGGAAAAAAAGAAATTCTATTTCTATTTATTTTTTATGCAAAAAAAGTATTGAGGTTAAAATATATTTAAAATTCTCATTCTGAATTTACTTAACTTAAAATTACCTGACAAGCTGAATTTCTTAGTTGTTTTGTAAGGTCTTCTACTTGATGTTCAAAATTATTAGCACGTTCTTTTTCCACATCCAACTGCTCTGACTGCTTATCATATTCTAATAAAAGATTCTTCAATAAAGAAAGAATTTAACTTTAGAATAGTATGCATTCAACAGGTAAGACTGTATCATCAAACCTTCTTGATATAAAATTTATAAGTCCCTTCCAGATGCTTAAAATATTTACCCAAGTTCAACATTTGGTGGAATACTTAATTGGCATTAGATAATAAAATAAGAACAATTCAGATGACTTTTAGTATGGAGGGGCAACTGTACTAAAGGGGAAAAAAATTTTAAATGTTCACAATATACTAGCTCCACGGTTAAATATTCTATTCATCAAAAAAAACAAACTTCTGAAATGTAAACAAAATTTAAAAAGGGAGGATAAAAAGCCTAACCTGGATACCTATTAACTCCACCTAAATTATTCTGATGAAGTAAACATTCCAGGCCTGGTCTAATATAAGGTGGAGGTGCTAAAGGAAGAACACTGGGAGACATTGCATAAATAAAGTCTCTCACACCGTGCAGCAAAAATTTCAGTATTTTCTGCAAACCGATTCCCTCCCACTGGCTGAGCGAGGTGCGGGCGCAACACCGAGGGTTGCGATCCCATTGCCGGTCCCGGTCCGGTACGGGCGCGACACTGAGGGTTGTGATCCGTTGCCGGACACGAAAAAAGACAAAAAGGAAAAAAAAAAAAATTTCAGTATTTTCTGAAGAATCCAAAACCAATTTAATTTTTTTTCTTTGATATTTCTACTTGGCCTACTAAAGGACAGAATGCCCAGAGTGACTTTTTTGCTGCATACCAGCTAATTAGGTTATTACTCCAAATATGTAAATGAGACGCACTATTTCCAGACAGACTGTAGTTTTTTCCCTCTCCTTTCTAAACACTCGTTTTGCCTTTGTTCCTAGACAACTTCTGACTGTTGTCCTTTCCATAAATGAATTTGTGTGCAATATAACCAGCAAAATGTTTCTGAGTTTTCATTGAAAGTTTATTTTTGGAAGTCCCACTGAAATACTGCTCACCTGGTTCCTACCATCAGAAACAAGAGGACTGTGAAGCCTGGAAGTGGCTTTTGTCCAGACTTGGATCGTTAGCATCCTTTGCTCACCCTCCCATGCTCCTCTGGTGGTCTCATGTGTGGCATTTATGCTCTTTCTGGCTCTTGTTTGCCAAATCTGATTCTTGGCCAATCTAATTTTGTTTCTAATTCTTGTTTACACATGATCAATTATTTGTCCATGCTGGTAGCTGAGTGTCAGATCTGAGTTTTGATTTCATGGTCTGCCCATTTAGTGATTTGAGTGGCAGAGACAGGAAATAGGAATTGGGAATCTGGCTTACATATTTTTTTGTCCATATTTATTTGTCTGAGGATTACTTCCTGGCACACATAAATACAGGGTTGAGAAATCATTAGTGTCTTTTCGTTTCCCAGAGAGAAAATTATGTGCTTGTTTTGTATTTGTGTGGACTCCTCTAAGTATTAGAGATCTTTACCCTCTTACGGTCTATCTAGCCTTTTTCATTTTTACTCATTATGGTTCTAATAGTTGCCCATAGCTGTAAAAAGTGAATTGCTATGCCAAGCCTCCTTATAGAAAATTCTTACAGGAAATTCTGACTTTAGTCAAGCATTATTCCCAAGGGGAATGTTAGAACAAAACTGCATGTCATACACAGAGTGGTCTACTTTCCTTTATGGGTATGCAGATGCTTGTAAGCGTATGAACAATTACAAATTATCATCCCTTTAAGACTCTTGTGTGTTCAGATATTTTAATAAACCTATAAAAAGTATTATTATAAGTGATAAGAACATTGAAAAAATAAACTGTCCAGCAAAATTCAGAAGTAAACTACAAAATTACTCAGCATCTTTATAATGATGCTCCCTGAGGAACCTAATGGAGCTTAGTTATATAACTATGTCTACTTTTTAAAAAATGATCAACATTCTGAAACATATCAGCACCTCTGATTCTATCTTAAATCCTGTTTTTTTTATTGCAAGTGGAATTTCTAGCTTTCCCAAAGGTTGAGAAAATTTTATAACTATGGAGTCTACTTTTTAAACAAAAAAATTGGTATACCTGGTCTACCGATAGAGAATCTTAATATATTAAGTTACAGGGTCTCTTAAAACAAAGAAGCAAGCTCCTAATGTAACTGGTCCTAAAAAACAAATAAGCCTATAAATAAATTTTAAATAAGTGTTTTAAAAAATGAATTTATAAGGCCTGTTCATATATTAAGGATATTAATCCTTTGTCATATGTTCATTATGCAAATTTACATACAGAAACATGGCAATGAAAATATGAAAAAGTAAATTTACATATGAAAATGACACAAACCCACAAAAATGTAAATTTACATTTATAAAAATATGAAAATGTAAATTTAAAGTTACATAAAAAATTTACTTGAAATTTACATATGAGCTTATTTACCTTTTATAAGCCAGTGAGTTAAATTAGGAGCTTGATTTTAAGAGAATCTATAACTTATTAATTTCCTCCAGAGGTAGACCAGATACATCAATTTTATATAGTTCAATCTATCAATGTTTTCCTTTGTAATTTCTTAAATTGCTCTTAAGTTTGGAAAAGTCTTTTGTATTCAGATGTGAGTTATAGAATCAAGTATTTTATTCTAGGTTTTAGAAAACATTTTTCATAAAATTATCTAATCCATCCAGAATTTATTTTGGTCTGTGGAGTGAAATAAAAACCTGACTAGATTTTTCCCAGATAGTTTTCTAATTCCTTTTTCATTGTTTTCTGTCTTGGGATACTACAGCTTAGTTGGTGAAAGAATAGACCTGGAACCAGAAAGCCTGAATTCAAATCTAACTCTATATTACTTGTTCTGTAACCCTGAAGTCTCTTAAGAACTTCAAGTCTGTGACCTTGAGTCCCTTAACCTCTTTATGCCTCTGCTTCCTCACCTGTAAATTGGAAATGCTGATTACTTCTTGGGGTTGTTTTGAGAATTAAGCGTATTAAGACATGTAAAGTGTTAAGAAAAGAGCCTGGCAGGTGTGTGTTGTGGTTATGCATAAGTCTTTATCTCTTCTGTTACATTAATCTGTCTGATTCTTGCATCAAAATCATACCACGTTAGTGTAGCTCTATAATAAATTTTAGAGCAAGAGGTCACTTTTTTCTTTTCATTTTCAAAAAACTTAGTTGTTCTTGCTAGTTTATTTTCCATTTAAAACTTTAGAGTAATTGTCAAGATCCTACCCCCCAAAATGTAGAATTTTTAATGAAATTGTTTTAGAATTTACAAACCAATCTGAGAACTAATATTTCAAATAATTTTCAGTCATGCTATATAAGTCTTACAGTTTTCTTCACTAAGTACAAATACTTATTAAAGTTCTTTCTAAAATTTTACTTTTTGGATACTACAGGATTTTTTTCTTTCACTTGATTACTGCTCACTCTCTTATCTCTACTATCTGTTACTTTTCTACACAGTTAAGTGTCTTGTATTTTTGTCGGTTTGCCTGTTATTGCCACTGGAATTTAAGTCCTAAGAGGCCAGGAACTTAGTATATTTGATTGACCCCATCTGCCCCAGTGCTCAAAACTTGGTTTGGCTGTATAAATAAATAAATACATGAAGAAATGTTATGTTATTTATTTTTTATTTAGTGATTTTTTTTTTTTTTTGGGTGGTGGCCAGTACAGGAATCAAACCCTGGACCTTGGTGACTTTACTTTTTAATTCCTATGTTTTTTATAATAGAGTCTCATGTTATCAAGGTAGACAGGCATGTTACCTCCAGATAGCAATGCTTTCACTTTTTCGTCATACCTCTCGTCATACCTCTTCTCTCGTCATACTTCAAGCTTACGTACTTGGCCAGAACAACAGTAAATAATAACAGTAATAATAGCCATCTTTTTGTTACTCTTTTATTAGGAATTCCCAAAATAGAATTTTACTTTTAAAAAAGTCGTTTAAAGACATTATTTAAAGCTTACCCACTTTAAAATCTTGATATTAGGATTATACTACATTGCACAAAAAAATAGAAAAGATTTACTAAAAAATACAAGATGATTATTTTATAGACAAGATTTACATTTCCAGTACATTTCTTAACTTAGAAGTTACAAATATAACTTTTTAAAAAAAATTTTAATTTACCAATATACAGTGTAGTTGATTTTCCTGTCCCTTTACCAATTCCTCTTTCCTCACTCTCCCCCATCAACATCATATCTGTTCACTTGTCTTAACAAGTTCAAGTAATTGTTGTGATTGTATAACTTGTTTTTAAAATAACTATTTTTACCTTATAGCTTTCTGCTCCTTGAATGAGATCCCTCATGGACGTAGACAAATGATCCTTTTCTGACTGAACAGATTCAAGTTCTTCCCTTAGAGTCTGGGCCTATTTTTAATATAAAGTAAAGTTAAGAGATTTTGCAAACAGAAAAACTCTTGGTTTTCTAAAATGTAAGATTCCTGAGTCTTGCATTTTAAGTTGGCTTACCTCTTTTCTGCTAGAGTCTAGTTCTTTCTTTGCCTTCACAGCAACTAGTTTAATCTTATTTATTTTTTCCTCCTTCTCTTTGGATTCTTTCTCCAGATTTGCTAAAAATAGAAAATAAAATAATTATATATGAACTCAAAAGGAAAAAAAGGGAAAATATTCAAATTTCTTGCTTATTTTAGCCCTAGAAAGTGATTTTTATTCTGGAACACAAAATATGCAATTAGAAATTAAAATAAGTAGCAAAGCCATTAATACGTTTTTTTTTTCCTTTTTGTCTTTTTTACTGACCGGTAACGGGATCGCAACCCTCGGTGTTGCGCCCGCACCGCGCTCAGCCAGTGAGCGGGAACCGGTCTCCACATGGGATCCGAACCCTTGGCAGGAGCACCGCCGCGCTCCCAAGCGGCGCACTCTCAAGTGCACCACCAGGCCGGCCCCATTAATACGTTTTTTTAAGTGGAAGCTTATTTATTATGTAAGTGAGGCAAACAATGTAAAAATTTTCCATTTTCTTCAATCCTCTAAAATATTCTACATTTCAGCCATTTCATAAGTGTCTAGGAATTGGAGAGGCTGTTAGGACTCCTTTAAATGTTAGATTTTGTGGAAACACAGGTATGCTAGGATTTTAGGCAGCAGTTTATAAATCAGGATCAAGTAGATGAGATATCAAATAGAGATAAACATTGAGGTTCTGGAGGCACACTCCTCCTCTTGGTTGTTGGGTCTGATTTTTACAACTAAACCTGTAATGTTTTACCTTTGCAATCTTGACCTCTCTCTCAATCTCTTTAGCTACCTCCCCATCTGAACTCGTGTTCAGGATTTTACTTCTTGATACCTCTGCTCAACTTCAGTTATGATCTGAAGTTCTGCCCCTGCCTATTAATCTTCATGCACTTGCACCTCCCTCTGGCTGCCATGGTGAACTGTGTGAGTAGCAAAGGTCAACTGTTTCAGTTCCGTATTTCATGCCACGACTCCTCACCTACTCAGGCATCTGAGCAGAAACCACTCCCCTTCTTCTGCAGCAATTTCCCCCTCTTTAGAGGATTTTTTCTAACAGTTTTTAAACATGCAACAAGAAAAATGTCAAGAAATTAAGGTCAGGAACAAATAATGGAAGCAGCTAAAGAGGGTAAGGGAAAGATCATGATAAAACAGATCAAACATTTCAAGCATGCTGTTATTTTTTCCCATTAAAAAAGCCAACATGCTGCCCTTTTAGATATTGTCCCATCTCTTCCTTTTATAGAAAAGTCCTTTGAAAGAGCTGCCTATACATGCTCTTCCCATTTTTTTCCTAGAACTCACTGCAATCAAGCTCTAGCTCTAGCTCCAGCACATCATGGATACTGATTTCTATGTTGCTTAATCCAATGGTTAGTTCTCAAAACTCCTTTTTTTTTTTTTTTTTTTTTTTTTTTTTCT